ACCCCGAGCCGCACCGGCCCGCCGCGACCCCCACGCCTCCTGGATCGTGACGGCAGCGCCGCGACCCGAAATAGTCCCTGGGGCGGGAGAGGGGGCGTACGGCGTCGGCTCTGACGGCCTAATGAGGGGGTCTCAGGCAGAGGCTCCGGATCCACGGTGACAGCCAGGGCAGGGAGCGGGGGATGGAGGGGGGGGTCGCACGCCCCCACTCCAGTGAGGCCGAAGCCCCTGTAGAGGGGAGGTGGGGGCCTGTCCCTCCACGACGACTCCCCCCCCACCCCCGCCCCAACCAGGCACCGACCTGATGCAGGCTGGGAGGGGCAACCCCCCTCGGGCTCCCCGCCTTCGAGTGCAGTGGCCAGTGCAGGTACTCTGGCCAAGCTGGCTGGGTGCAAATCCTGCCTCTGTCCATGTGGGCCGGACACTCCGTTTCTCCATCTGTACAATGAGGGATGGGCCAGCTAGCACAGGGAAGCCATCCTCAGAGGGTTTAGCTAGGATTAAAAATAATAATAATAAGTCATGGCCCCGCGGGGTGGCTCACACCTGTAATCCCAGCGCTTTGGGAGGCTTAGGCTGGAGGCTCGCTTGAGCCTAGGAATTCAAGACCAGCCTGGGCAACATAGCGAGACCCCATCTCTAAAAAAAATGTTTTTAATGTTAAAAAAAAAAAAAAAAGGCTAATGCCCATCATTTGCTTAGAACAGAGACTGGCCCATTGTAAATGGCAAACATGTTAGAGTTATTCACCATCCTGGTGGCGTGCACTCAGTTTTCAGCCCAGTCTCGGGTCTGGCCGCTTGGGTCTGACTTAGGTCTTAGGAGAAGCTACAGTCGTTTTCTGAAATCCCAGGGCCTGGGATGTGGGTGTGACCAGGTTACCGGAGGAGGCCGCTGACCCCATTGAGTCATACAGCCAGCTGTGTGAGAGGCAGACACGGACCCCCACGCCTCTGTCCGGGCTTTTTCCACAAGCCAGTTCTTCCCTGGCGGTTTCCTGAAAACAAGCCGGCAAAGGCACTGGCTGTCCTCCGGGATGACCCCCTGCCCCGTGGACCCGCCCCTAGCAGCCGGTGTGAGGGGACGGGAAACAGCTGCTTGGGCCTGGAAGGCTCCCCCCACCTTCGCCTGGCCTTGCGGTGGGAAGGGAGGTGCCAAAGACCCAGGCTGGACCGAAGTGGCAGTGGGAGTGGAGTGGCCAATGCAGCAGGTTGATGCGTCAGGACGACTGATGGGTGCTTAGTGGCTGCTGGTGTCAGGCACACAGGTGGTCACCAGGAAAGTGCGAGGCTGGAAGAGGTGGCTGGGAGGGTTGCCAGGTGGGCAGTGGGCCAGGCAGAGGAAGAATAAGGCCTGGCAGGTGCCTGCCAGTGGAGGGCTGGACAGACAGGGGGTTGTGAGGTGACGTGGCTGGGACCTGCTGGCAAGGGGTCCTCAGAAGGTGAGCAGAGTAAGATCTGAGGATTTTCCCCACAGGCAACTGACTAAATTGCTCCATTTCTCAGTCCCTCCATCTCTAAAATGGGAATGATAATATCTACCTTGTAGGATTGTATGGGCATTGCTTTTTTTTAGAGATGGGGTCTTGCTGTGTTGCCCAGGCTGGGCTCAAGTGATTGTCCTGCCTCAGCCTCCTGAGGAGCTAGCATTGCAGACATGCACCACTACCCCAACTGTGGGGGTTACATTTAATCAGGCAGGGCATACAGCAGACACTTTCTCCTCCCAGAAGGTTTTCCCATGTGGGCTTTCCAAAACCCATGTGTCCCATCCTGTTTTCTTTTTTCAGAGGGAGATGAGGTCTCACTCCATCTCACAGGCTTGAGTGCAGTGAGTGGTGTACCTGAGTACCACACCTGGCTGTTTTTGTTTGTTTGTTGTAGAGAAGAGGTCTTGCTATGTTGCCCAGGCTGGTCTCAAACTCCTGGGCTCAAGCAATCCTCTTGCCTCATTCTCCCAAAGTGCTGGGGTTACAGATGTGAGCCACCATAGCCCACCCGCACCTTGTTTTTTTTTTTTTTTTTTTT